ACCAACATTAAATCAAATTAATTGTAGATGCTAGTCCATAAACTCTTATACTCCTAAGCTTGAAATTTCATAACCAACGTGTGAACTTCAAGAAAGTTAAATTGCAAGTTTTCTCCAAGTGTTCTTAACAAATCAAGAGAGAGTGAAAGAGAGGATGGGAGTTCCGTATTTTCCATGTCGAGGGAGTCCTCCAAAAATTGAAAGCCTTTAAGCTAGTTAAAGTGAAGATTTAATTTAAGGGTCCTTAACCATTAAGCCCTTTAGACAAGCTAGTACCCCATACTTTCTCCCATACCTATTACTTTTGAATAAACAAATATGAAAGCCTGATTTCTTTTGTCTCTTCTATTTTCGACTTTTGCATGAGAAAAAGAAAAGTAGTTTTTATATTTTATAAAACCCAAGTTTATAAAATATAAACCGTAACATTTATGTAAAAGACAAAAAGTTTTCCTAGTCCAAAATATTGTACATAACTTAATAAATCATAGCATATGATATATTACGTTACTTGCTAATAAAAATTATTATTTCCATGAAATAAATAATTTCCAATTAATTATAAGAGTTCATTGAATATTTATAAAAATCAATTTCTAATAAATAATCAACTGTATCAAGTTGTTGTTAGTGTGAGCCTTGAGATCATATGTTAATTAATAATATCACTTTAATGTGACTTTTAGGCATACTATATCTTTCATGTACCATGTAATCAAAGGAAATCATTAATATAAACCAAAAATTCACGCGTTTGAGAAGTTCTAGCTACCAGTGTTTGATAAAACACTCCGTTTTAAACAAAATCCTCGTTTGACACTACAAACTTTTAGTTTTTAGTTTAAACAAAACTCCCCAAATCTAAATGTTATCTGACATAGCTTTTAACAAAACCTTATCAGCTATCAGCTTACCACTACCCGTTACTAGTTAGTTTTGTCAAACACACCCGATAGTGGTCATAATGGTCTTTCTACTTTTATTCCCTCGTGACTATATATACAACTAATGTTTTTTTTTCTTTTTATCCTCCAACTTTTTGCATGAATAAAAGACCGTGATAAGATCTCAAATTTGATTTCTAAATTTGGTGATTGATGATTCCTATATGTAAACGAAAAATTATTCAACGGAAGTCTGTACGTAATATTTCAACCTGTACTCCATGTGAGGTCGGGGTTCTGGTTTCTAACATTGGGGATACCTCTTTCAGTGCCATATGTGGAGAATTTTTTCCTGAAAACTCCTATGTATGCTAAGTTTTCCCGTTTATGTGGAGCTCGAACTCAGGATGGTGCATGTTGAAATATTGTGTGTAGGCTTCCATTGAATCATTTGTTGTTTCAAAAAAAGTTTTTATATTCCTTCATTTTAGTTTTAACAATTAGAATAAACTCTTATTTTATTTAATTTTTCTTTTTAATAATTGTGCTCTCAATTCTTTCTTGTAGGCAAAATTAATACTCACTCATAGCCTTTTAGCTCACTTGAAGCGAAATTCCTTTTATGTTTTAGGGTAAATTACACCAATCATCCATCGTGCATATGTCAGAAAGCATGTTTAGTCCCTATTTTCAAAAATTAACTCGGACCATCCCTCGTTTGCTTAAAACTTGCATACTTCGTCCCTATTGACTTGAAATGACTATTTTGCCCTTAATAATTTATTTTTCCATTTCCTTTTATTTGTTTATTAGTTTTAAATTAAAAGAAAAAAACAATTAATCCCCACTCTTCCCCAAATCTCAGCTTCTTCCACCTAAATTCGTCTCCCTCTTTCTCACTTTTCCTTCACCAACGCCGACAAAAACCCCAACACAAATAGACAAGATCATCAAGTCGTATGAAATCAAACTGATGCAAAAACCCATCAAGATCAAACCCAAATGAAAGCAGCTTAATCTTCTGAAATTGTCTTAACCTAAGAACAATTCTTCATCGGAAGTAGAAATGAGATAACAGAGATCAAAAATACTTTTTTGGATGCAAAAATGAAAACGAAACCAACACACACATTAGAACACCTGACACATCAAAAGGCATTGTAGATGAAGAACGTGAAAACAATTGGAAGTTTATAAATTCGGAAGTCAGAAAGTGAAAAGAACTGAAATTAGAAGCATGGGTGGAACCTGTAATCGGGAAAACTTCATTTAAAAGACCTAAATACAATAAAATGAAAATCGGGAAATACAAAAGCTTTAGAAGAAGCATTGTGTGCATCAATGACAAACCTAGAATTAGGAAAACGGAGGTCGCATTAGAGCTTGCTCACAGACATTATCAAAGATACAAGATGGTTTTATGGATCGGAGGGAAAGCTCGTTATTTCTGATCATCGTTAACCCATCATCGATATCCTTCTCCTGCTCTCTTCTCTAATTTTCGTAACCCACCACGTATCTCACCCCCAGAAAACCCATCCTAAACCACCACCATCGATCTACAACTAGTGTGTTTGGTGTTTCTGGTTTTATCGATCAGTAACATAATGAAAGGGGTGGGGAAGTTTCGTCAGAGGATGGTCATCGGTGATTGTACGATGAGTTGAAGGTCTCCATTTTCCCTCTCATCGGCGATTATGTGTGTTTGTATCTCTCCAGTTGTGGATGAGTTGGGGGATGAAGGGGAGGGTCATTTATTATTTATTTTTAAATTGAAAATCATAATAAAAGCATTAAATTAATTTAAAATAAAAACACAAGGGTATTTTGGACATTTCAACTTTGGTATGGACTAAGTTTGCAACAAAATCTTCTTTCAGGGACGAAGCGTGCAAGTTTTAAGCAAATGAGGGACGGTCCGAGTTAATTTTTGAAAATAGGGACTAAACACGCTTTCTGGCATATGCACAAGAGACGATCGGTGTAATTTACCCTATGTTTTAACGTCATATTATACTATATGTTAAATAGAATAATAAATTACACGAATAGTAAATTCCTTTTATGTTACGCATTTGATCCCTACTATTTTTTTTGTTACGCACTTGGTCTCTGTCTTACCTAAAACGACTATTATTTAAATAGGAAAAAATGATGGGTAAGTAAGGTAATGTAAAGAGTGGGGTTGGGTGTGTTTATTTAAATAAATTAAAAAATTAATGGCAAAATAGTCTCTTTAGGTAAGACAGAGACCAAATACGTAACAAAAACAAACAGTAGGAACCTTCTGAGTTAAAAAAAAAAAAAAGTTATGGATTAAACATGCAAATTACCCTACACCATAGGGACCATTCGTGTAATTTACTCTAAACAAAAGGCTTCTAACTCAACAATATCAGGTTACTTGAGGTCGAGGGTTCAAGTTTTGTTGAGTATGTTAAATTTATCGTTAAAAAAATCTTATTAACAGTTATGTTTCCTCTTTTGGAATTTTAACGCAAATGTTTTATATTTTGACAGGTTTAACCCTACAATTTTGTGCAATTTTTTAATTTATGGAAAAGGTCCTTATGAAGTTTATTTTTTACAAAAATAGTTTATATTTCTAAGATGTTTCTATGTTGATAGATATGGCCATTATGTAGAAAACAAATTACAAAAATTCATCTCAGAATTTATAGAAAATGTTATTGTTTATTTTTTTTATAGAAAAAGTCTATATGCTTAAAATATTACAAAAGTTGTCCTCGTAGTTTACAGAAATTTGCAGGTTTGGTCCCTATACTTTTCTAATTTGCCAAGTTTGGTCTCCCAAACAATACACATAAAACGATAAAACGATTAATAATATTACTTTTCTTTTGTGTGACTAGAACATAGTAAGCAAAACTTTGCATGTGTTCCCCACGAAGCCAGGAGGGAGCAATTTCTATTTCTTATAAAGTCTCAACTCTCGAACATTAATTTCTTGTCATTTGAGAGAAAAACTAAAAACACATCAAATACGACTTCTATATTTTTTACCATTTTCATAAGTAGTTGTACATAATTGTATAAATACTTAAAACCCTTGTACAATCTCTTAATGCACTTATCTAATATCCTAATCATGAATTTTAGATGGACCACTAATTACTAATTAGGTGTAATTGGTTGTCTAATGTGATGTTACATCAAGTGCACCACTTTACTTGCCCACCATGTTACTTGGTCTTTAGCTCGTGAGGTCGTCGGCAACTTGCCCACTTATGGGTATAGGGAAAAAAATCACTTTCTTTTAATCGGTACATAAAAGCGGATCGGATTTTTCCATAACATGTTCTACTAAAACTGAACCGTCGGTTAGATATAGTTTTTTTTATAAAGTATGGATTGGTTTTTTACCCCGGTTTTTGTTTCTGAACTGTTTTTTTAAACTCGCTTTCACTTCAAAAAAACAACCAAATCAATTAGATTTTAACCGAAACCGAAATTAGAAAAACAGTAAAAAAAACAAAACCGGTTTTAACCAGGCTTTGTGCACCTCTACTTATGGCCTATAGGGGCTATGTGGCTTTAGCTTGAGTTATTAGCACTGTATCATAGACCGTCAGGTCTAAAAAGGAGGACGTAAGATTTCATAGTAAGGATGTTATGTGAAAATTTTAGTAGTGTCACGACAATAGAAAAAAAAAATCGAAAACTTTTCACTACGTTTAGAAAAAACCAAGTGTTGTCGATGTTATTACGGGCACCATAGTAAAACTGTCAGTGCTATTGGGGTATACTGGCGAAGTGGAATATTCATCCAGTCTGGAAATTGAATCATTTGACATATCTCCACCTGTACTTCAAAACGAAAAACACCGTCCATGAAAACAAAGCTACATCGACACATCAATTAACTTGTAAATAAAACAAAGCTACGTCGACACATCAATTAACTTGTAAATAAGTCAAAATTTAGTCCCATGAAAAACAAAGCTACATCAACACATCAATTAACTTGTAAAGAACTCAAATTTAGTCGTATGAAGAAGATTGTCATGGGTCGAAAATTTTCTCACCTTCAAATCTCCTTTAGCAATAACTTCTCACACAAAATTATAAAACACATCAATGTGCTTTGTATTTCTCCACAAACATATGACATTTCCAGATAAAAAGTTGCAATACATTTTCTTTAGTAGTGGTATTTACATAAGGTTATGATTAATTTTTCATTCTCATCTTTATCTTATCACCTTAGGCTTGTAAAAAAGGGATGTGGTTACCTATTAGTCTTCCTTGTAATATAACCTAAATACAATTAATCAAAGAGAATCCAATATTTTATCTCTAAGTGCCTAACATTGCCTATTTGTAAACAAAAGTATCATTTAAAACATCAATTACTCACAACCCTAACCTCAAACATCTTTCTTTACACTAAATATGGTATGTAGCAAACCTATGAAGCTTCTTCATGTTGCCTCTCTTCTTCCTTCTAATTAGAAGCTTCCATAGCAATTCGGTACCTTTACTTCGCTTCATCCTTGGTACAATTGTCAAAGCCTGAGGTGCAACATTCTTTAGCCTACACAAGTTATTGCACGTGTTGTAATGTAGATCTTTTGTTTCTTTAGTAGTTAAAATTTCTTTGATCGTGGGCAATATAGAAGAATGCTCCCTCAACTTCTTGTTATTAATCAACTCTTTTACTCCTTCATAGCCACTTATACTATGAAGATCTTCACTTACCTCATTCTTACATGAAACACTACATAACATGTTTCAAAACCATCATGTCAATTTTTCAAATTCTATAAATAAAAGAATATATAAAGAAGGAAAAAAAAAGATATATACCTAGCTAATTGGAGTTGTAGCTCAAGACATGTTGTTTCTAGTTCTTCATATTGTTGACTTTTGTCCTCCAACTCCATTTCTAAAACAGATAATTTTCGAAAGGCTTCTTTTATTTCGAATTTGGAAGCATAAAGTTGATAATCAAGGTCAACATTTATTAATCTCAAATCCTCAAACTTCTCCTCGGTTGTTCTCTTTGACTCATTTACCCTTTCAACTTCCAATTCCAAAGACACAATTTTGTTTTCCAATTCCAAAATCTTTTCCTCATGATTCCATTCAACCTTTTCTCTTTTCAAAATCCGGATTTCATTCTCTCTCTTACATAAACTTTCTTTAAGAATCCTGTTTTCTTCTTCCACTTCATATAACTTCTTTATCATTAAACTCTTACTTTTATCCACTGATTTTGTCTTTTCATTTCCCGGGACCCGCTTCTTCACTAACAAACGAAGCCTCTGGCGTTCGGCTTCTAGACTTGCAGTTTCTTGTTTTGCCACGTCAGCATTTAGGGTTCTTATCTTGAGCTCTCTCTTGAGAACATGATACTCTGTAGTTTCTTTGGACATTTGATTGCTTATATTTTCGATTAAATCCTCTTTCTTAACAGAATCTTTGGTAGATTGAGAGTTTTCAACTGTTGGATTAGCAAGTTTTCTCCTTGTTAATTCTGTGTATTTGGACTCTAGTCTCTTATTTGCCCTCTCCATGTTCTATTGTAATGTGTCTTCTAGATCTTGTTTATATACAGCTACTTCTGATTCGGGGTTTTCTATTTTAAAAATTCCAAAAGAACTGATGTAAATTGAAGGAGTTATGCAAATTAAAAATGAAATTAAAGTAAAGAAACAAGAGTCACCTGTTAATGTTATGGCTTCTTGATCTGTTTTCACATGTTCAGCAATGAGTTCATCTTCTGGATTACACTCACAGAGACGACGAACTTTTTGCTCTGATCCACATATACACAAATAAGTATGAACAAATGAAAAGAAAGTACGAATTATGTCAACGTTTTCATTACGTAAAACAACAATCGTCATGATTTATATATTTCTTTAGTGTTCGTAAATGGACTATTATTAGTGATGATCAATGATGTCAGACTTTCACCTACAAATTGTCCTTCCAAAATCATAGCAAATAAAGCTTAGTTCTCCCATGAAGATGACTGAATGAGACAATACGTCAGAAATGTAAACGCCACCGCGCCCCACCGGCAAAGAAATGGTCCCCACGGCCAGATGGGGATCGCCGATTAGATGTAAACCGTAAGTATGAACAGAGACCGACAGAATGGAACAATCCGTAAATCCCCAACAAAAATTCCAAGTAAAAAAAGAAATCCCATGAAACAAAGGTAGAAAAATAAACCTCGAAAGATGAGAAATTTGAAGCTCACCTCAATGAAATAAGATTAGATTACAAGAAGCTGATTGGGATTAACGATCTCTAACACCATTTCTGCATGACTATGAGTCGATCCAAGTTAGAAGTTGGTTGAGGAATTTCATCGAACAGGTTGAAGGAAATAAAGAGGTGATGTCGCGGCGAATAGTTTCTGCCGAAACGAACCCAACACACTGATATCATTGGACTTTGAGAGATTGTGAGGTGTAGCCATGATCATAAGTGTTGAAGAAAAGCAAATAAAGAAAAAGCAGTAGCAATGGAGCGGTGGTGAGCAGAGGGCTAGAATTTTGTGTCAGCAATATGTCATATTTGATCATGGAGACTTACAGAACCGACTGACGAGAATCAAATGAGTTGGTGTCCTTTGCACTTGTATTTTATGCAAATATTAATAATATACTTTTCAGAATCTTGTGCTTTTTCCATGTAACCTGGTATCATCATAGCTTAAACTCTAGGGAAAATATTATAAACGAGCTACAAACTATTTCATTTGTTTATTTTTAAACTGTTATAGCCCTTAAACTGCTTCCGTGACATTTTTTTTAATGATTTGGAGAAATACTTTATCAAAGATAAGATGCCATGATATTTAAAAGTTTGACTTTGACATTTTAGTCCTTTAAAATAACAACTCCAATCGGTCTTGTAGGGAAATCAAATTGGGTATGGTATCTAACGTTGTCAACAAACATGAGGTTCTACCGTTCTAACAATTTAATAAATATTACTTTAATGTATTATTAATTTTTTTTTAATTAAGTTCTTTTAATTATTTTTATTCGATTAATTGTTTTTATTACATGTCACCATCATTCTAATTTATTTAAAAAAATCTTATTCATCAAACCACTATCAGACATAAATCAGATCAAGAATTACACATTGGGTTATAAAATAACAACATAACATCACATTGAAAAACAATAAAATAAAAACAATATAATCGACATTCTATTTGGATTTTAATTGACTTATGTTTAATTACTTTGTATGACAAGTTGTATTTGGATTTTTAAATGATTATTGTATAAATTTGATTTATATGACAATTGTATGTTTTTATAATTATTCAACAACTTCAGCCATCACAGTATAGAACAACAGGGTAATATAATCATTTTTCATCATTCAGCACGGTCAGCCAGATGTACAATCAAATAGTCAGGTTTCTTTCCAATCAGAAAACTTTCCCAAACATTACTTTCTCAAACAGAAACTATCAAATGGAAACTAAACAAAAGACATTCCAACTTTACACATTGATGTGGTATGGTCATTTATGTCTCTATATATGTTGGAGTCTCTCATATCTCCTAATGAACTCTTTTGGAGAGATAATATTGGAATCCACATCTATTTTACATGTTATCAAAGTCATCGTCTAACACCTCCTCAACTTGACACATCTATGTTTATCCTTGTTAAGTCCTCGTCTTTGAAAGAAAGTGTTGTTGTATTGTATATCGGTGTGACACAATCATATAAGTCGATAGATACTAAAGTCTTTATTTCTCCATAAGAGCTTCTTTTAGGGAGTTAATATGAAATCTTACACAACTAATAGGCTATGACAAGAAACCTACTTTCTAATTGATATAATTTGAGAACATTGTCCTAATTATTATCCCATCTATCTATATCATATATAGTCTTCCTTAGCTAGTTAGATTAATTCGAAAGTAAGGGGTGGCATTTCAAATGAAGTTTTAATATATATCCTTTAAAAATGTCATGTAAGTTAGTTAAGAGTTATAGTCGGTTAAAGAGACCAAAGTAATATGATTCTAGAAAGTCTATCGCCTAAAAGTAAACAAAAATAAGTTGATTGACTAACGGTGGACAAATAAAATAATTTGTTTTTCATTTATAACATTTTCATTGTTCACCTCCACAACTTATTATTCTCTAACCTTTCAATCTTTCTCTAATTTATGTTAGTTTTAGCCCTTATATTTTATAGTAACTTATTTTAGACCCTAGTTATATTTAGATATTTATTTTCTTTATTTTTCTTCGCTAAATCTATTTGTGTAACATCCATAAAATTCATAAAAATTTTAAACTTTTTAAAATATCCATAAGCCACCATTTATTACAAATTGTTTTCAAAATAGTTTATCATCAGAATAATCTCAGAAATCATGACATAAAATATGAGGAGGTGCATGATCAAGCATTCATATTCTCGCGATCATCTGAAGTACCTAAAACAAAATCCACGACTGTAAACACAAAGCTTAATGAGTTCCCCCAAAATACCGATACATACAAATAATACACATAATAATAGCATGTAATGGGTCCACAGCTCTACAGACTGGATTACCCCTGAGCTAACAGTATGAGTCTGACATGCCTTGTGTGGCCCTCAGCACATATCTGGCTTGATATCGAGCCCACAGCATAAGTTTGGCTTGCCCTTGGGCCCACAGCTTATGTCTGGCTTGCTCTCTCAGTCCTCGGAATGGAATATTGTAACGCCCGTAGATCCGGGCTTAGGGCTGTGCATGGGTCGGTTTGGGTCGGTTTTGGACCCCAACCCAACCCAACCCGTAAATGATCGGTTTCTGGTTTTCAGAACCCAATAGGGTCGGTTTCTGGTCGGTTCGGTTTCTCGGTTTCTAATATCGGTTTGGGCGGTTTCTTGGGTTCAACCCATACACTTACGGTTTCTGGGTTTAAACCCATGGGTTTTGGGTTTGAACCCATTTTCCAGAAATGTAACAATTAGTTAAATAATTAAAAAAACACCTAAGCTTCTTATATATATATATATATATATATAAACATAAAATAATACTTAAAAGCATCGGGTTTGCGGGTTCGCTAGGTCGGTTTCTCGGTTTTAAAGAGGGGTCAGTTTCTCGGGTTATTGGGTCGGTTTCTGGGGGCAAAACCGAAACCGAACCCGGAAAGTCGGTTTTTACAAATTTAAAACCCACACCATCGGTTTTGATTCGGTTTCGGTTTTTTCGGTTTCAGTTTCGTCGGTTTTTGTCGGTTTCTCGGTTTCTTGGTTCGGGTTTGCTCACCTCTACGGGCTAGTCAAATTAGAGACGATAAGCATCAAAAAAGACTTTTTTATGGAAGATTATTTAGAAGGATTAATCTTAACCAAGTTTTAGTATATGTCACAAGGTTTCCGTGCATATAAAGAACGCCAAAATCCGAGTTATAACGAAGAACTTATGACCTGTCGAACTTTCGCGACAGAACCGGCATGACCCAGTGCGACCCAGCGCGACGTAAATAGTGAATCTAAGGTAGATAGATATCTATCCTTAGTGATCTAAACGATAGTCGAAGATGTCTTCGATAGTAGTCCAACAATAAAAAGACAGACGGAAACGGAGTTCAGATGAAGGAGTTATGAATTTCGAACGAAGTTTTCCTGTTCCGGCCTACTAAAGATAATATATAAGTAATATACTTAAAATATATTAAAAATAAATTCAAAATTAGCCAATGGAGTCTAAACGATAGTTGTAGATCATAATCTCACCTTCGCGTCGATATAAAGAACGTCGAAAACGGAGTTCGTATGTGAAAGTTATGAATTTCTGAAGTTCGGGGCGCGAACCCCAAAGCTGTGTCAAAGACCACGACGTGGCAAACAGTGCCACGACGTGGAAAGTCTCCTGAAACCACCGGGAGTACCCCAGATGCAACTTGGGATGACGCATGCAGTGACGATCAAGCCCACGGCGTGGTAAGGGCCAGTTTTGCCCTATAAATAGATTTGAAGGGCCAGTCGTTTGTGGTTGCCAAATCTCTCTTCTCTCTCCCATATTACATCATTTTACGTGCAATTTTAACCCCCCGAAGCCCCGGTATCAATCCCGAGACCCGAAGCGAGTCCCGAAGTCCGAATATCCCGAGAAGAAAAGAGTTTCCGAGCCGAAGCTCTGCCCGCGAGAAACCCGGTGTGTAAAGTGATCCCGGTTTCACCGAAGAATACTACTTCTACAAGTCGTAGTGCTTTTGGATCATCTTCTGATCAAGTGAGTGTATAGTCACTTTCATCTATGTATATATATATTGTTGTTTATATGTGTGAGTGTGTGGTCACTTTCTTCTAACATATATATTAAGTATTTGCTATGAAATACGTGCTATGTGTTTATATATTTTGTACATTTGAGATGAGTTTGGAATGGATGTTTTATATAGGTGTTAAATGAGTTAATATGTATATGTATTTTATATCTACAAATATGTTGGGTAGAACATGGGTAGATGAATTAGATGAAATAGGTGATGATAATTAGGTAATGAGAAATAGGTGATGATAATTAGGTGATGAGAAATAGGTGATGATAGAAAGGTGATGATAAATAGGTGATGTGAGATGAGAGGAGATACCATAACCTTGATCGGTGATGTGGCAATTTGGCGATGTAGTCATCTACCAGAGTATAGATGGCGACCACGGACTATTCTAGATGACCCCGTGGAAACACCAGCAGGCTCATAACCTGTAGGTGATGAATTATGAGTCCAGGCGATGTTGTGGCTACGTATTCATGCGATGATACTCTAACCCTTACTATAAATCACGAGTCCAGGCGATGTTGTGTGTAACATCCCGAGTCTAGGGGTGCAAGTTCGGGGTACAAAGTGTAAATTTGAAGGGCAACTCGGCGAGTCCATGGGAGGACTCGGCGAGTAGGGTCGCGACTCAGGTCGCATGTTAAGTGGCCAACTCGGCGAGTCCAAGGCTGGACTCGGCGAGTAGGCGCTGTGTGAAGAAAACCCTAAATTCGGGGGATGAGCCCTATATAAAGGACATTATACCCTTTCCCCAGCCTCCTTACCTTCCCTTGAAGTCCAGAAACCCTAAATACGCGTTTATGAAGGTTTTGAGTGTATTTGAGCCTTGGAGAAGAAAGTTGGAAGAAGATCTTGGAGAGTTAGGAGGCTTGGAGCAAGGGGCTTTGCTTAGATTCGGATTACTTGCTGTTTGGGGGGCTTCATTTTGAGGTAATATCTCGTTCTTGGGCTGTGTTCTTCTAGATTCATCATTTTTAGGTTGTGTGGGAAGCTTAGATTGTGGTATCTTGAGTTTTAATGATAGATCTAAGGTTGCTACCTCAGATCTGAAGTGGAGGAGGTCTAGAGTGCATTAAAGTCCCTGTTAATGAGTGACTGGTGAAGCCATCTTGTCCCAAACCCTAGCCTAGAGTGTAAAATGCCTAGATCTCTTTGGATTCACGTAAAGTTTGCCACTTTACGTGATAGAAGGGTTGTAGAAGGGTAGATCTACGTTTTGGATCGATTGCATGGCCTGAAAAGCTTCTGTATGGGTTAAGAACTAGTGGTACTTGGCGAGTCACAAAGGTGTACTTGGCGAGTTGCTTGAAGATGGATTGGAACTCGGCGAGTTGGAAGAACAACTCGGCGAGTAGGTTGAAGATAGCCTCGGACTCGGCGAGTCTGTTCTTGGACTCGTTGAGTCTAGTCGTGAGGTCCTAATATTCTTCTGGTTGAGTCATGAATCGGCGAGTCAAGGGAGGACTCGGTGAGTTGAGTGCGAGAGGACTC